TCACGTGAAACAGTGCACTACTGTACAGTATGAAACAAATTAATGCAAAAGTGTATTAATTCATTTCAGTATTCACATTAGACATTACTGTTAGACAGTGCTGTTTTAAGGTAATCATTGAAGCTTTATTATGTTATTATTGTTTATTAATGTCCCAAAATGAAGCCTTGTATTTATTAATTGCAGTACAAAGGGCAAGCAAAACTACAGGACTAAAACTGCACACTTCTTACTAAAACATGAGTCCACACAATAGGACATTGTGGTAATCATTGTGAAACTATGTAAATAAAACAGAACAAAGTAATATATTTGAAAATACATTGAAAAAAAATTGATTAAGATCTTAATAGATAACAAGCAAAAATGTATTTTATTCATTCACAGTGTGAAATATTATTCAATAGCAAGGTTAAGATTATAATTTTAATATTTAAGAAAGCATGACTAAACCAAGTGACTGCCCCGTGGAAATTATTTCATGATTAATATTAGCAATGTATTTGCTAAATGTAGAATGTTTTAAAGAAAGTACTGATCTGACAAAAAGTACTTTTTTCACTTCAAAGAACAAAGCCAGTATAACACATTAACCTAGAGACAAGTGGGAGTCAAAATAAGAGTAGAGTTTCAAAATTACCAGCCTTTTTAATAAAAAATAAGGTTGATTTCATTCAGGAACTAAAAAATGACTGTCCACATGAGTTCTCACTTCTCCAGATCACAGTGTGAAAATGAGGCTCATTGTTAAGGCACGAGTAGTCTTGATAGGTCACAGAACGACAGGAAAAAGATGAAAAAACCTTTTTTTTCTTCTGTTCATAAAAGCCATGTTTAATAATTTCAAATATCACTACCACTACAAATCCATCAAAGTCACTGCAAGAAACATCTTATGAATGTTTTGATTCAAAAGCTCTCCAGATGCACCAAACATTTGTTGAGCGCTATATACTTCAACCTTTATCGTAATAAACTTGATTCATCAAGACCTTTCAGAGGGAATCTATTCTAATAAACAACAGAAGCACTGAGAAAACGTATTACTCTGCAGTCTTGTAAACACCACGTTTAGTAGTAAATGCTATCTGCACACAAATGGCAATGACATTTCAGGAAGTGACCCTTGAGTTTATAAGCACTGTGGACTGGGAGATAATTCGTCAGATTAACAACCATTACCACCAGTACTGCACTTGCAGGGTGTGTGTGTGTGGGGGGGTAGCAGACACTGCTGTTTGCAGTTTCAGAGCTAGTGCCATTTTTTTCAGGAACAAGCAGCTTGCCTGTGAATGACATCTGTGGTAATTTGTTAATGTGCAGCCTTGTCTCAGCTTCAAAAACACTCATCTAGTTCAATGGTGGTTTAGGTATACCAGGAATTCCCATCAACTTTGCAAGAATTAATATGGCTCTTGGCAGATGAACAGTTTTGGCATTGCAACAAACACTTTCTGAATCACAGACAACTCTCAGCTGTCTACTGCATTGCCTTTATTACTGCCATGTTTTAGAATGGTTGCATTTAATTCAGCTTTCTTCCTCCATAGGCCTACAGACCTCCTGTTGCAGCAATAGTTAATCCTTGCATTTTTAATGCAGCGTGTATGATCATCACAGGTTTGGAAAAAAAACAGCGGATTCTAGGAGGCCAACAAAATAATTTGTTATCAAAACAAAGAAATCTCCCCAATTATCCATTCACCTCACATGCTCAAATTGAAAGGAAACTCTTCTCAGATTCTCAGTGATGCTACAATCTACATGTCAGTATTCAGTAGTTTCCAGCCAGTCAAAGTTGAAATGTTTAATGTTAGCACTGTCTCTTCACAGCCAAAAAATGCTAAATCAGTGAAACATTCTGAGTTCTTTTTTATCGGCTTTTAAAATACCAACTATGAAGTGTCACCTCCGTTGGTGTATATCTTAATAACTATTGAACCCTCTAATTAATCTTTGTGGCAGGCTGTACTTGTACATCATTATGCAAGTACAGGCGAGATTGAAGCTTTTACATGAGAGTTTTGTTTTGCCTCGATGTAAGTTGTGCGTTTGTTAAAAAAAGGGTGACAGCATATACACAATCTGTAATTATAAAAACAGAGATACAGTACAGTACAAGATATGGATGGGAATAGATCTGTTTTCTCTTTGGTAAATTGAAACCACTTATTCACTCTTTTAAAGGACATCTTCTGAGTCTAGCAGGTCACAATACTGTAAGTACAGCACTTACTGTATGTTTACCTTAATCACTGTAAGGCATAACAATACATTATAGAATAAATACACACATTCAGGAGATACAGACAATACCCCAGTAGTTTGAAGAGACAAAGTTACTGACCATATTCATACCTGGGCCAAAACTTTCATTTTAATCAGCCATTCAGTAAAAATTACTGCAGTTGAATTTCTTGAAGCCTAGAACAGGTGGCAGCCTGAATCGGCAATTTGCCAAGCGATGCTTTGTTAAACTGCTGGGGGGAACAATCAAAGCTGCTTGATGATGTTTTTTTATTCTTTTCTCATTCTGGACAAAGTGATTATTATCAGCTTTAGATGTGATGTGAAAATTGAAAGTGTGATAGATATTACAGATCGGAATTCTAAACCTCCAAAACTTTTACAGAGACTTTTACAGTTTTCAGAATTATCCATTGCAATTTAAGTGTATTTTGTTTTATTCAGGCAAAACATATTCTTTGTATCCCACTGTATATTTTTCTACTTATTTTGCTCATATTTTTAAAAAGTATTTATCTGGACAATTTTTGCTAAATGTCAACTTGGTTTTGTCCGTTAGAAATAGACATAAGCTATAATTAAATCCTAGTTGAGCACCTGGCAGCCAAATTGCTTTTCACCACATTCTTAGGAAATTGTAATAAATAACTATGGTTATGAAGTTTTCAGGGCACGACAATGCTTCTTATAAATTACTGAACACACAGCAAAGTGTCATGCCTGCACACAGTACTATGCATACCAGCTGATCCATTATTTCCTTCTCAATAGGGGCTACAGTATCTAGATGACAGATCAAACCTTCAGGCAAGCACACTGTCAAACATTCACTGCTGTTTATAGATTTCCTCCAAGACAAAATTACTGTTTATCTCTACTGGACAAATAGATTATGATCTGTTCAATGGCTTTAAAGTGTCTGTATTATTTACATTCAAACTAGATTTTCTGGCCACCCCAATACAGACCTATGGTTGGATTTATTTTTTAATCAACCAGTTTTAGAAAATCAAATAAAACATGTGTTGACAGATTTGAACCACTTATGACACAGAGGTCTGAAGAGACTTGCCCTACTTGTGATATCTATTGTACTGTACATAACAGTGATAATGATCAAGACCTTTAGGCTAGTAGAATCCACGTTATCTGTGCTAACTGAAAGCTTTCTCTTAGCATTTAATACTAGTGCCATGGATTGTCAACTGCTATTAACACTAAGAGGATTGTACTGTAGCTGTCAGAATGCAAGATATGAACAAGCCATCTGACTGAACTGCATGAAACATACAAAGCATTGGTACTGTATGTTAACAGTCCTAATGGGAAACACTGAAGGCATGTTAAGAAACTGATGGATTCCCCAGGCTGCAACCTCAGAAAAGCCTAATTACTGACCTTGGAAAAAGATGTCTTCTAACCCAGTGTTGCAAACTCCTTGCCCTGGATGTTCATTCCACTTCAGACCTCATAGATCAAAGAGGAAGTTCGATCAATAGTGACCCATGAAAAAGCAGTTAGCTAAAGTATTTAGGTTAAAAAGCTACTTGCCCCCAAATAAACAAAACAGGCTGAACAGACTTCTCTCACTTGTAACCAGCTTCCAGCTTAATGCAGTACACTCAATTTCCAAAATGGAGATTTGACTTGCTGCTCAGGAAAAGAAGCTTCACAGTGAGAGTGATGATTTTTTTTTCAATACCTAACATGTGGAGACATCTTATTCTACTGTATAACATTCTACTGAAACACAATCCACCCACAGTTTGTATGAGACTCACCCACCTAATTGTTTTTGCACCCAGTGAATTTTTACCATGGGGAAATGAGATCTCTTGACATACTAAACAATAAGTTTTTAGTAAAATAGTACACATTCTTGTCTCAAGGTGATGTACTGTAGTAAGAAGGCACCAGATGGTGACAGTTCAGAATCCTGGCACCTGAGAGCCTCTACCATTATAAGCTCTTCAAAATCATTCTGACTTTGAAAGCAGCTTTTTCCATTGAATTTCATAGTGTGTATATTTTGTGCCCACAGAATGCTACATAATAAGATCACTGGAACTGTCGTTCTACTGTGCGTGGGTAGCCTGCGTTCTTCTACTATACAAGTTTATGGTATTGCCAAGTTTAAATGAGCTGGCAGGAATCACACCAGACAAGGCATTAAAATAAGTCTGAAAATTCAGGCAGAGAATGACAGGCATTTGGAAAACCTTTCGTAAAGTATCGCGTATATCATAAAACAACGTCATGCGGGACCCTTTTTATTTGGAATTGTTATCCCTAACATGACGATGTATTTTTTAATCCCCTACTGTATGACGTCTGTCGTATTGCAGTAAACGTCAGCCAGACCTTTGCGTCGAATCCTCTTCTGAACCTGTTTCTTAACTTAATGTAAACATACTGTAATTATTACAATCGAAAAACAAACGTTCAGAAAGACAGAAAACACAGCGCAACGAATAACACTATTATTATATGGCTTTACAACAAAAGTACAGTATATGAGAAATCTAAACAGAAATTACCTACTGTAGGTTGTACAAGTTGCCCTGTAGTACAATCTACTGTATTACTGGGCTTTTTAATCATAGCAGATATTTTAAAAAATAATTGGTGCATAATTTTCGGTTCAGTTCCTAACTTCCAAGAATTTCACAATTAAACATTTTAGATATTTTATTCATTTAATAAAACATAAGAGATATAAACAAGAGAACGACTATGAAATATTGGATTCAGTCCCTCAATCTGCATATACTGTATATTCAAAGAGCAGCACTCGCTCCAAGTTCCGCGTTGGCTACCGAACTCGTATCAAGTGAACAAAACAGACTTTTTATTAACCAAAGTCCCTACACCGACAATAATACCTCTTTAACTTATTACGTCCATGTGACTATGTGAGAATTTGCTCTTCTCTTTTAAACTCCGTATTCACGCAGTCTTGTGCCAAAACGACCAGTCCTCTTCAGCAGCCGCAATACTAGTGTGGCCAAAAATTGACACGCTTTCATTAGCGCTCACCAATCGTTACAGACTTTCCAAGGCGGTTACCTCTTCAGTATTACACAGATTCTGTCACGGTGCCTTTCGGAAAGGTAATCGGTTTTTTCCCCCCTTTTTCACTTGGGAGAGGTGCTTTGCTCCCATCCAGAAAGCATCCCGCTGTTATCTTTTTCCCTCTCGCCACGCAACACCTTGGCAGCTCACCGAAAACTGTCACTGGAGTCTGGGTGGATACGAGGTCTGCTCCACGCCCACCGCTGTACCATTGGCTAGCGGCGGTAGTTAATTTATTTCACTCTGTAGTACTCGCACATTGGGTAGTAAGACAGGTTAGAATTAGGCAGCGCAAGGTGCTGTCTCAGCGAGCGAACTATGCGGGAGGGATACTGCTGTTGATTCAGCTATTTTGTTAACCCAAGGAAGCCAGAGAGCGAGCGAGCGAGCGAGTGAGAGAGACTATCCAGTGTCTTAAAAACAACAACAGGGGAACCTGTTACTGTCACATCGCCAGTGATGATTACCCGTTGAATAAAGATCTTCGCGTTTTACTTGGTGAAGACGGAAAGAACAGCAGCAATGGGAACATTTTCAAAAGGACGTTACTTCTCTCTGGTCATCCTCTTTTCCCTTGGCGTCGGCATCACAGGTACAGCCACTAAAGGTAGGGAAGCCAGCGAGAACTCTTGCGTTTTATTGTTGTTGTTGTCATCTCTTGTACACTTGTGCTGTTTGTGAAACGCAAATGGTCCAGTTTGTATACTGACACTTTGCAGTGCAAAGGGAAGGGTGTCGGTGCTTCTCATTATTATTATTATTATTATTATTTTATTATTATTATTATTATTATTATTATTAAACTGTTTCTCAAGAAGTTGTTTTCGGGTGCTGCATAGCATGCAATGCAGTGCGTTCGTGTTTGTTAAAGGTCGCAGTGTTCCCACTTTGTTTCTGTGCAGGGTAATATCTGTTCTAATAGGTCTGAAATATGTATGAAGACTTGTAAGGGTAGGTTTGGTCGTACACTATACACGTCTGCAGATTTCAGTTATTGCTGTATATATAACATGCTGGTACAATTAATTTTAAGTGCCTGTACATACTCTTGATATTCATGCGCACTTCTTCACGCTGTTTGTTTCAGCAGAAGTTATGTGACGGTTTTTTTTTTTCTTTTGGAATTGGAAGGTAGATAATTTTTCAGGTTCTCAATTCACTAACTGCACTTCAACCCCGGCTCGTTAAATAAAAGGCAGCCAACAGCAGCGCCAGCTGTGCGCGTTCTTTGTGATGGGGATATACACGCCAATATATTCAGATGTCATTTTAGAAGCTTGCGTTTGCCTAACATCTGAATGTCCTAAAGCTCGATCTTGTCATTTCCATTGACATTATGCACTCTTTACGTTCTCTAGCTATGCTTGCTTAAAATTCCTGAACCCACAACTCCACAGTATGCAAATCAGCCTAAGTATGATCACTTATACTTTGTGCTGTGGAAGCAGCATGTGCGAGAGAATTTCGTGTAATATGGATTAAGAAAAATTGTCCGTGGGGATTCGCAAGATCACAAGAAAAAGCATGCTATTGACCAGCAGCGATTGTTACACTGCACTGGTCTACAAAGAAGAAGCTTAATTTATTTCTCGATAAAAGCCATTTAACTGTGAATTCTACTAATTAACTGTGAATTGTACTAAAAGATAATTATTTTAGTGTCCTTATGTGTTTCGCCGAAACCTGTTTAAAGAAACTAGAATATGAATCAAGTTGAATATAGCCGTAACAATCTTCTTTTAATCACACGTGAATTCAATTATTTTTGTACGTTAATTACAAATATGGCACGGAAAGGGGAAGGTGCTTGCAAGCGTTTAGCTTCTGTTATTGTTGACTGCACTTAGTAGCGTTTTAGCTATTCATAATTCTGCGAGGGGTTACTCTTGTAGTTCTCGCGTTTAGTTTAATTTTGCTTCATCAATCGCTCAAACCGCAAAGGGCTTTACAGAAATTGCTCCAAACGACGAGGCGTTAAGTTGCTCTAACGGAGACTGGAGGAGGGACCAGGAGTCGTCATTATTCTTTTTATTAGGACTTTTTTCACTCTGACTCGCTTTTCACCCGGTTAACCTTCCATTTACATTTCTGAGTCCGAAACACTAAAAAGCTTTTTATGTGGCAAATATACAACAGGGCTCATCGCTTATTTAAGACGCTAGTTTCTCGGTGGAATATTAATTCATTTTAAGTTTTTTTTTTTTAACTGTCTGAGCTAGCTTAAACATTTGGAAAATGTGCAGGGGATTTAGTTAGGTACAGTGTTTGTTGTGGGTAAAAAAGGAGAACCGCCCTACGTACAGTAATTCTCAGACATTTTGTTTTAATTTAGTGTGTATATGGAAATGTATTAATACTGTGTGCGAATAAATGGATAAGGGAGAGTGTGGAGAGTGATTATGCTTTCAGATGCTGAAACGACCACAGCAGGTGTGCATGTGCTTATTTTGTAAAATCTTATCCATTAACTACATGGAAGACAACCTGAATTGTAATTGATCAAATATAGATCCGGCAGGGTTAATTAACTTTTTAAACTGAAATAAATAGTTGTCGTTAGGGCTCGCATTTCATGAGAACGTCCTGTTTTTAACCTGACGCTACATAAACCTTCGCTAGATATGGCATACGGCTGTGAATTTCAAGGCACCAAGGGACCCAACGTCTCTGTACATGAAGCTTCAAGATCCTAGACTTCAGCATATCGCAGGGAAGGGCGGTGACGTCACCGCGCTGGTAAGCCGGCTCGAGCAACCTCCAATGGTTACACCCTCCCCCGCTTAATTCGCCGTCCTCAGCGAAGGGCTGTTCCATCCCACTCCTGACACCAATGTAGCGCTCTCGGGTTCACGTGGGTATGCGCCTTCGCCGCTGCCGCCTTAGGTCGCCCTCCCCACCGCTGGGGACTCGAACCCGGGCCTCCCAAATCTCCCCTCAGCCCGGCGGCTGCGGTCCCTGCTATTCACGGGGAAGCGCGGTGACGTCACCGCGCTGGTAAGCAGGTTCGTACAACCTGCCGTATGCGTTACAATATTTTAAAGCATCGTTTCGGTCCTTTTTTTGTGGCATCGACTTTTGTCGATAGCACTGTGTCCTTATGATCCATTGGGTAGCCTGAATCCCATAACGTCCTTCTCTCACCCCTTTCAACTAAAGTACAGTACATAGATCCTAAAGCTTGAAGACACTTAATGTAGCAAGGGGTTTCGTTAGCCACTGTCAACAGATAGAAAAAGTAATTTCATTTTTTTAGACATATGGATCCTTCCTAGGCTTTGGCTTTTCGTTCTGGCAACTGTATCTTTTTGCATAGAAACATTTGCGATTCATTTGTCTCTTTCAGCCGGAGGAATTCATTCCTGCACATCTACTATGCAGATTGATTTTCCTCTTTACTTTAATATTCATAATATTCATATTTAATGAGAAATAGTTTCCGAAAAAAAGTTGCTGGAAGCAACGCGTAAAGTCTTACGCATAATTTTGACACCATTTTCATTGTTTGGATCCATTTAAAAGAAAAAATGAAACGGTTTTATAGGGAGAAGACATACACTATCCATTGTTTTTTTTTCTTTTCTTTTTGCAGTTACTGCTGTTGTCAAATGAAGATTTTTCTGGATCTATCAGTCAGAACGTGATGTTCTAAATTGCTCTGCGTTCTATTTCGCGCACGCGCGTTCTCACTTTTAGTTCAACGGGAAAAGGCTTGTTTAAAATAACTGAGGACAAATACATTTACTGACACATAAATGTGTAGCTACGCGGTTTATATTGTCATAGGTAATCCATCTGTCTTCTAGGCTTATACGTGGGGAGGCGAGTATGTCATAATGAAGTATTACCCCAAGGTGTAAATGAGCAGATGAAATTATGTTCCGGTAAACCGAAGAGCAGGGAGTTATTACAGATTTGGAGTTTGCTTGTTGCCCTCGGGCTAATGTATTCTTTTGACAGGAACCTTGAAAGCCATCAGTCATATTCCGAAAGAGTAAACGAGAGTCCACCAATTTCACCAATGTTTTATTCATTTGAAGTCTGTGAGCCTTAGGCAATGGGTGATTTTTTTTCCCCACGTTTTCTCTTATTTAGAATTTGCATTTAACAAATGCATGCGAAACGATCATACAAAGTGTTAGAGAACGTTTGCCAGTCTCTACTTTAGATGCAAGCTGAAGCCCAGATAACTGATGTCAGAGAATCCTCAGTTGTGAGCTCTACATAGATTTTAGATTCTGTGATACAGTATGGCAGCTTTACTGTAAATTGAAGGTCATTAAAGCACAACTGTGAAAATGACTGGGTTGAAGGTTGTCAGGTGCAGTGATCTTATTTGTCAGTACAAATGTCTGACAAGTTACTGTTACTGAGTGTCGGCTGTATGTACTGTAATTTCTCTTCGGCGCTTGAGACCAGGACAGTTCAGATTTTGAACTTTTGAATGTATGAACATTTTCCATAGTTGAATTTGAATGGACTATGAATTTTATTGCAAGTTGTTATACCACAGAAAGGCTTTAAAGATGCGGATAACTGTATGGGTTCTCTTATGAACCTGAGTGGCTTTCGTGTCCAAAAATGTACCTAAATGGAGGATAAAGGCATAAAGGAAAAGTTTAATGCCATATTACCAATATGTTAAAGAGTATTAAATGAGTTGCTTTCTTCATTTGTCTTGGACATCAAGGTAAGTGATGTTCTTCTCCACTAAAAGTTATAGTTGCCATTCTTTTAGGATTCAAGTTTAATCATTTTTCTCTGCAGGATCACCTGAGATCTGAAATACAGAAGGAACACTCTTTTTATCTGTGTGCTCCTTGTAAAATTAAATGTTTAGCCATAGTGCAGACGGAGGATGCTCTATAGGGAGCCAGCCATGCCACTGCCCAGCTACACATTATGTAACTGTGGATTTTGAAGCTGATGTTTAGTCTCCAGTGAAATAATAAATTCAGATTTAGCCAAACAAGACATTAACAGATGAATCACCTTAGCGCATAATATACTTTTTTTTTTGCATCGTGCCATTTGAATCATTGGATTGAATCATCAATTTACCACTTCCATATTCTTTATGACTCAAAGTGTTGCACATTGAGTCCACTATCCATATTTATTTACATATTTAATCCCTGGGTATGTAATGCCTGAGTCTGTTTATGCAGTTGAGGCCAAGGTTTCTAGAACAGGTAACCCCTGAGTGAACCAGGCTCTTTGTTCTTATTCTACTGCCTGATCATCGCTTCAGCTGGGAGTTTAGCTTGGCAGCACCTGCTTTTCCACTTTGCTGTAACAGAGACTCACTGAGAAACCCCCCACCCCCCGATATTGCTCCTTAGTTACAAGATGGGAGCCCTATCAGATCAATAGAAATACAGTATGCGAGGCTGAACAAAAAGAGGCATCTTTTTTCATTACACTGCGTGTACTGTACATTTACCCCTGTGTCTAGGCCCAAGTGGAATTTGAAAAGGATTTTCACTGCAATCTTTTTGTACCAAGGGTGCACTTCGAAGATATCTTACTAGGCATACAGTTTCAATGCAGAAGTCTCAGACATTCTTTAATGCTGTGTGGAAGTTTTGCATTAAAGCTTAACATCGAACA